AGCTAGAACTCTCGACTACTGTCTCTGAAAATACCATTCCTGCATCTTCACCTGATGGTCGCTTATAGTGATTTATTGCACTATAAAAAATACTGGTAAATTATGCTATTGGAAAATAAAATGTTTCCAAAATCATTTTTGTTGTTCAATAAAAAACTATAAGTGACCTTAGGGTCATGGTTAATTTGCTCTGATGCCAATAACAGAAACTCCTTTTCTTGACCAGTATTGAATATATATTTATTTTTTTATAATTAATATTTTTTTTATAAATGTCTAGCTCATTATACCAATAATACCGCGCGCTAGTAAATTTTAAATACAAATATCAATATATGAAACCATGGGCCAAATATATTAAAACTGCGTTTTTAGGTTTTCATTCCGGCGTCAGTAATTCAAAAATGATTTAAAAAATTCAGAGAAATGTGCTTAGAGAAGAAGTAAGGGTATCAAATTAAAGAGGAAATCCTGTAGAATATAAACAAATTCAAGTTTTCGGTGCATAGGGACGGGTAAGTATTGAAAATATCCTTTTAATATTTTATCCTTGAAATTTCGCAATATTGGTTTTCGAAAAAATTATATGTTAAGGACTTATATAAACTCGATAACATCCTTCACTTTCGTCCTTCTACCTTTATCGGCTTAAAAAACTACCTATTCGTCCTTGTGAATCCAATAAATTCATTTTTTTTTTATTCCAAAGATTTTTGCTCTTGCATTTGGTACCCATATTTTTATTCTGCATTGCATTGAATTTTTGAAATAATTTTTGGAATTATTCATATCTTTGAAATTACAAAGTCCTTTAAAATAAATCCTAATGTCAGAGAGAAAAAACAAAAACGCCACTTTAAACAAAAAAAGTACGTTGCAAACCCATTTTTATACCCGAGCGCACTTGTGCACAAGGGTATTATAACTTTGTTCACATAACGGTTGTTTGTAACAGGCAAAACGAATCGAGATAGATATAGACAAATGTATACGTAAATGATCAGAATGAAAAGAGAAATCGATTAAGCGGTGACTGTCTGTCCGTCCGTCCGTCCGTCCGTCCGTCTGTGCACACGATAACTCGAGTAAAAATTGAGATATCTTAACGAAACTTGGTACGTGAACTTCTTTTGGGCGTGGGACGGATGGTATTGAAAATGGGCGAAATCGGATAATAACCACGCCTACCTCCCATATAACGGTAATTTTAACAAATACGAAAACTGCGATATTTTAGTAACTACTGAAGATAATTCACTCAAAATTGATACTTACAATGAGTTTCAGACGGAAAACATGAATATTATAAAGTTTTGGAAAATGGGCGTAGCCACGCCCACTTATGGTTACATGTGTATATCTTGGTAGCCGCAGCACCAATTTCTTCCAGACTTGGCACAGTTGTTGGCCTTAGTACAGCATACTAAATGGCTGAAAATTTTAAGAATCGGACAATAACCACGCCTACCTCCCGTATAACGGTAATTTTCAGAAAAACGAAAACTGCGATATTTTAGTAACTACTGAAGATAATTCACTCAAAATTGATATTTGCAATGAGTTTTAGACGAAAAATAAGAATATTACAAAATTTTGGCAAATGGGCGTAGCCACGCCCACTTATGGTTACATGTGTATATCTTGGTAACCGCTACACCAATTTCTTCCAAACTAGGCACAGTTGTTGGTCCTGGTACAGCATACCAACTGACCGAAAATTTCTAAAATCGGACAATAACCACGCCCACATCCCATATAACGGTAATTTCGAGAAATACAAAATCTTCGATAAATCAGTAAATATTGAAGCTAATTTATTCAAAATTGATGATTGCAACAATTCTTTACCAAGAAATACGTTTATGACAAAATTTTGGAAAATGGGCGTAGTACCGCCCACTTGTGATCACATATATGTATCTCGCTAACCGTTCTAGCAATTTATACCAAGCTCGGTATGGTTATTGTGCTTGCCACATAAAAGCAAACCGTTGAAAATTGTTGAAATCGGACTAAAATTGAGGCCGCTTTTCATATAACGGTAAATTTCAGATATGCTTGAAACTGCAATATTTCGAAATTTAAGGACGCTAATTTACTTAAAATGTATACACCCCGGCTTATCATGTAGCGGTAGCTTTCGGAAAGGTGGAAAACATATATTTAATACTTGCGCCGGGTATTTAATGTTCGGCTCCGCCCGAAGTTAGACTTTCTTACTTGTTTTATTATTGTTTATTCTATGGTAGGAGAGCTTCTCAAAAAACATAGAAGGAATTTTTTCGATTTAAGCCATGAATATCAAAATCCCGGGACTAATCTCGGGATCCCGGAATTGTGATAACGACATCCCGAAAATCCCGGGAATGGAAAAAGCTGGAGAATTAACATCCCTAATACATATGTACATACCCAAATGACGTTTTGGAATACAGCCTTACTGCCGAACTGTATACTGTTAAGTAAATTGTTCTAATATGAGATTGATTAACTACATATTAGAAAAGGAGTAATAAAATAAAAATAAAATAATATTTAAATTCTCTATGTATGTCGTTTCAATCAAAAAGGTATAAGTTATTAACCGACTTCTTTTTTTTATGTATGTTACCGCATAACTTTGAACCACGTCGATCGATTTCGATAATTCTATTTGCATCGGAAAGGTAGTGTCTCAGAGGTAGGGTTCGAACGATACTATCGATATTGAGTAAGCATCGATACTGAGGGTATAAAAATGAGTACTTTAATAACACTGTGAGACAAAGGGTAGGGGTCAGTGATCGGGAAGGGTTCAAACTACCGGGGAAAGTTATATCGGTAAAAAAGAAGTTATACGTGTCCCGGCGTTTCGCTGGGTCACGTCTAGGAATCGAGATATATCGATTTGAAGTTAGTAACTATCATGTAGGGGAAATTGTCACCTTTGGTGGTCTTTTTTTTGACATAACTCGAGAACCACTAGTCCGATTTTGCTCAAACAAATTTAAAAAAATTAAAAATTACAATTTAATCTGTTCATATAACGTTTTTCAATATAATCAACAGTTTTGCCAGTAAAAATAAATGTATGAAGAAAAAAAATATTTTTTGCCTAAAATATTAAATTTTTTTATTTTTTAAATTTATAAAAAATCCAAAACGGAAAAAAGGTAAGTCGTATTACTTTCACGCAAAGTCACATAACCTTTAAGCAAAATGAGACATAGATCATGAAAATCGATGGACGCGTTTCGCTTTTATTCACAATTAAGTGAAGGTATCTCAAAAAAAGGTGACAATTTCCCCTATATGATAGTTACTAACTTCAAATCGATATATCTCTATTCCTAGACGGGACCCAGCGAAATGCTGGCCACGTATAACTTGTTTTTGACCGATATAACATTTCCCGTTGGTTTCATCCCATCCCGATTCTGACTGTCGCATAGTGTAATCGATACCTTATTTGGTGATTTTACTCAATACTTTGCAAAGTACTCGTAGTATCGAAAACTTTTTAAAAAACACACTTTTTAAATTTTTCTTCCATTGGCAACCTAATTTTCTTTGCTTATGTGGAGCACTATCATACAATTTTGTCCATCACTTAAAATAAACTGAAATTTCAAGTAGTCTGTTGCATAACATAAACCAAATAAGTTAAAGTTTAAAGGCCTTATTCATAAAAAATAAAGTAGGTTTAAAAACCTTAATAAAATGACGTTTTCTTATATATTTCGTTTATTTTTTACGAATAAGGCCATAAAAGTTTACGCAAAGTTCACGAAAATGCAGAATTTTTATAAAACTTTTGGGTATGCAGTTTTGTAATCTATTAAACCCTACGTGTAGCCTAGTACCGTTGCCTTTTAATTCAAACTTGCACATTATTATACTAAAATTGAATAGGCTTCAAAAATGCATACCCAAGAAGTTTACAAAAATTCGTAATAAAATTTGAAATTCGTGAAAGTATGTACGTATGTACATTTAACGCTAAAATTAGTTCTAACGTGAAAGGAAGTTCTGCAATGAAATGAAAATCAAATATTTTAATTTGTATTGTTTTAATTTTAGGAAATAACTGGATATACGATTGAAGAATAAAATAATTTTAGTATCCCAAACAACGTATTTCAATGTGTCCGATACTGAGTAGTATCGATACTTTTTACCTGATACTTTTAGAGTACCGATACCGTGAGCTAGATGATCGATACCAAAGCCTGAAATTTCGAACCCTACTCAGAGGTCGTCCCATACTAATATGGTTTATTTAGATCCGATATGAGATATAAATATATATATATTTTTTTTATATATGAGAGTTGAAGTCGTTTTTTTTTGCTAAAAATTACTTGTTTTACTATTTAAATTTCTCAACTTGAGAAACAGTCCCATTTTCATACAAAGAAAAATTCCCATTTTGTTTACAACGTTTTGATCCTCCACTGGTACTGTTAAGAAACCACGTGAAATATTTGAGAAATACCTTAGTTCTCAACATAACCTCAATTTGGGGTCAAGCGTAAATGTTTGTTGGGTACATACATATATACATATGTACACACTTTTTATGTAAAAAAAAACTGCACAAAACCATCCGCATATATTATTAAGTATATAAAGATTATTCTACACACCATTGAAATGCAATACCTGCATAGTTTATGCTCTTTTTGAAACAGAAAATATTTTTCTACATCCTGATATGCTTTAATATTAAGTGTTTTTAGTGATGCGGGGTAATGGACATTAAATAACTATTTATTGGTATACATATGTGATTATTTCTCTTAATATATTTGTAAACTATTTTGTTCTGTTTTCAAGATGACTCCATTGATGTTACCAATGATGAGGAGCCCCTTCGAAGCGAGAAAGGCGAATGCCATTTTACAATACCAACGTTTGTACCGCAAAACTTGTACGTTCAGCCACATGAAACTGTTTATGAAACAAGTGCGCGTTTGCTTTTTATGGCGGTAAAATGGGCAAAGAATTTGCCAAGTTTTGCAAGTTTGTCATTCCGCGACCAGGTAAAGTAGCAAGCCCAAGCACAAACATAATGTTTTCCCAAAATTATTTATTAAAACTTAGATGAGGCGAAAAACGAGTCAAATGGAGACTACTTTAAGTTTATGCTGGGGATGATGATTGCGAACGTAGACAAAAAATGTTACTTAATATTTATGATAAGCTAGCCAAGCTCGTTTGCTCCGCGGCACCTGATAAGAACTTTCAATTTCGCCAATGCAAAATTAGAGTTGAAAAGCAAAAACGGTATATAAAGTAAAAATTCTTAGCTTAGGTTGAAACGACTTAGGGCCGTTTTCTCAAGTAACCTGTAACTTTAAAGTTCACTTTTTGTTGGTGGTACGTGCTCTAGAACGCATTGCCTTATAACGTCTTCTAATTTTTTGCTTCTCTTAAGCATTGTCGGTAATGTACAGTAGAGTGTTCTACAATTATTTATTAATATCGCTACTTTGATCCATTATGGGGAATGAAAAGGAGAAAGCTTCACCGTAGTCAGCTGAAAAATTCTTTTTTACCGTTACTTTCTGTGCAAAATTCCATCGGGTACAAATCATGTTTTGCTTTGTTTAATTTATAGGGAAGTTGAAGTCAGTCAATGAAGTGATGTACATACATACATACATGAGTGAGGAAGTACAATTTTAAGTTTAATTAAATATGTACTTATGTACCGATTTACATACATACATACATATCGTTGATGAAACTAACTAACTGAAATTTTTTTCGAAATTTGGTTTTTTGCATTCCCAAGAAGCTTATACTAAAACCTCGCCTTCCCTAAAAATTTAGAACCGTTACTAAAAAAATTGGGAATTTATGCCAATTTTTAAAAAGCCTTAACTGAAGTAATTTTGCTACAAAACATTTAACAAGGCAAATGAAACTTCAAAGAAAGTTTTTTAACTTAAGGGGGCTTTGCATTTGGGCGATTCCACCGTCACGGGTTGGACATTTGTACAGAAAAAAATTTATTTCTTGTTTAAATTTAAGTATAAAGTACTCAACAATTCTACATTTTGATAAAGCTACACCTAATTGACTATTATATGAGTTATACAAAATACGACAAAAATTCCAGCTTACTTTTATATGGCAAAAATCTGATTTATTTCTTCTATCACGGGTGGGACAAAACAAACCTTCTGCTTTTTGGAGCAGATATATTTTATTGAAACTCTGCGAATTTATTTCACTTTTCTGTGTGAACTTGATATCTTATAATAAAACAAAGAACCAGAAACACAAACAAAGCAAAAACTAAAAAAAAAATATGGCTTTATTATACAAAAAATCCGAAATTCCTCTGTCACGGGTGGGACAACGTTTGTAACGGGTAGGACACGTACGAATTTTTATATGAAAAGGAGCTTTTAGTATGGTCCATATATAAAGAGTAGTTATTAAAAAATATAAGAAGCCAAGTATGTGTTAAATTCACTCACGTTTTAACTTAGGATGGTGCCTTTTATATAGAAGAAAATGCTTAGCACCGCCAGCCAAAAAAAAATTATTAAAAACGAACGCGATTTCTTAGCGTCTTGATATTTTCATTTTTACTTACTTAAATCTAATGGACTACAAAACTACATACCTAAAAATTCTGAACAAAAAGTTTAAAAAATTTTGGGTGTAATTGTTAAAGTTTGTTGAATTTTTATGATTTTTGTAAGTTTGAAATGTAGATTTATGTGGTTCTGGTTAGGTAATGTGAGCCTTTAATAAAAAAAAAAACTATAAACTTTAGGTTAACAAAATAAAAACCAAAACTGGTCAATATGTAACTTAACTTAATCAGCTGACCACAAGGGTATATCAGAGATGCTCAACAAACTATATGAATCGATTTCGTTTTGTTGATGCACAAAAATAACTTATCAAAATAATTTCGTTTCGTTTCAGAGCTGAATTAACGAAACAAAACTCAATCGTTAACGTTGAAACGAAATAAGTCATCAATCGTTAACATCGAAACAAAATAAATCGACGAAAAGTTGTTGTAGTATGCCATTGCCAGCTCACTAATTAACACCTAGCACCTAAATGCATGCTACAGTTTCAACATTAACGATAGAATTTATTTTTGTTAAAAACCAAAATAGAACTATTTTATAATTACCTAAACGATAAAAAACTGAATCGTTTCAACAGAACGATTGCTTTTTTTAGTAAACACTAAAATTAACGTTACAATCAGGGACGTGAACCGGATGAAAAATTTGGTCGGTTCGGTTGAGCGGTTCGAACCGTTTTTGCACTTTTGGATTGGCTCGGCAAAGCGGTTTTTTTGGTCTTTGAACCGGGGGTTCGGTTCGGTTCAACGGTTCGAAAAACAAAAAAATTACGCACACGGTTAAGGGTCAAGTGTCTGTCAAATGAGATGGGTTGCCTTTACATTTGATATTGGGCGCGTTCATAAGACGTAGCTGTTTAGCTGATCTGCTACGAAACTGCTGGCAACTGTTGAATCCAACAATTACGTCTTAGAAACGGCTTGATGAATATGCTGCCAAATGAACAGCTGATAAATGTAAACAAATGAAATTGCAACAAATAGAGATAGTTGCGCCGATAGTATTTAGAATTCAACGCTGAGCTGCCACCGTGTTGAAAAAATCGTTCAATGTTACAATGAATTAAACAGTGTAAAATTGTACAGCAAACATCTTAAAAACATATATTTAGAAACGTAGTATTATTATAAAATATTCTAGTTATTTTATTGCATTAGTAATATAAAATATAATAAATTTGTTTGCAACTGCCACGTAACGAAGCGGCGTTAAATTTAATATAAGCGGCGTAAGTATTTTCGATCAGCTGTTTAGGCTAAGCCCAACACGTTGAGTTCAGGTAGCGTAAACATTTTCCGCTGTAAAAAATGGCGGAAAGTTGCCAACTGTTGAGCTGAGCGGAACTACTCAACTGTGCATTTCTAGGACAAATAGCCAAGGGTTGGGCAACAGCTACGTCTTATAAACGCGCCCACTGTCACATGGTAAACAAACATCGTGGGTATTACCATGTTTACCAAAAAGTAGGGCTGCCAGATATCTCTGTTGCCAAACCGGGACACTTTAGGGAGGGTCTCTTAAACTTTGTGCTAAACTCGGGAAAATTCAATAAATTTGCGTACAAATTTGCAACATTCTAATCAGACTTTTTAAACAAATTTTTAAAGTGAAGTTTTCCAGCCCATTAAATTTTAGTTGATTTTTGGTATTGGTTTTACTGAGAGATTCTTCCATACAAACTATGTTCGATAATTGTTTTTATATGGAAGACACAGTCAGCAAAAAATAAATAAATGCTAAAAATCAACGATATTTCCTGGCAACTTCACACTTGCACTTTATTAATTGGCTCCAAATCTAAATTTTCAAAATTTTTCTAAAAGATCTGATTAGAAATTGTGATCTGTACGTACTTATAAGTCTAAGTTTCATGAAAGAAAAAAATTTAAGTACAAGATAACATTAAAATATCAGTAATACTTTTCGTTGCTGTGAACTTGTTTCAAAACTTCTGTATTTTCCTTAATATAATTGTAAAACTCTGTGCTCGTCATTTTGAACGTATTTAGGTACATATACTAATCATCAACTATTGCTTGTGCAAAGTTCAACTATCTCGAAATGTAACTATTTCACAAATTGAACCGGTGCACTGAGAAAGAAGTTTAGAATTAAAAAAGCGTGCTAAATTAAAAAATACGCATATGAAAGAGCACCAACCCAACTCGTAATACATTTAAGTATACAATTTTTAGTATTTTGTATAGAAATATTAAATTCAAATACGCCCATATTAAATTCAAGCGATTTACAATTACCGATTGCTTTTTCATAATTAAGTTAACAAAATATTTAAATTCCATGCTGGTTGTAATGTCAATTGAACCTCGACCCTCCGGAAATTAGCAAATTGTGGCAAGCATCTTCGCGCACTCAGCTACAGCCAGACATGTAAATGTGCATTTAAATGTTGAGTTTGAATCAACACCACGCGTGCGTGTTATGAAAGTATTATTTTTAAATACGAACCTTTTTAAACGATAATCAAATAGAAAATATTCATGTTTACTATGCGTTATTTCCCTCAGTGAATTCATAACATTTTTCTGAATATTACAACGCGTTTTTATACCTTTCACGAGCATGAAATGGTATTATAACTTTGGTCCGATGTTTGTAAGTACCAGAACAAAAAGAGATAGACCCATTAAAATGTATACTTATATGATCAGAACGTCGATCTGAGTTGATTTAGCCATGTCCGTCTGTCCGTCTGTCTGTCTGTTTGTATGCAATCTAGTCTCTCAGTTTTCGAGATATGCGGATCAAATTTGGTAGGTGGGTGTATTTTTATAATGTATTAATCATTTGTCGGAACCGGAAGAATCGGACCACTATAACATATAGCTCCCATACAACTGATTGTTCAGATATGAGATTTTTCGTTATAACTTCTGCATTTATGCAGCTACGAACATGAAATTTTGCAGTACTTGCACCCATTATCAACAGAATACTTACAGTGAAAATTACAAAGATCGGGTCACTATAACCTATAGCTCCCATACAACTGATTGTTCAGATATAAAATTTTTCGTTATAACTCCTCCATTTATATAGCTAGGAACATGAAATTCCGCACTGTTTTCAATAATTATTAACAGAAAACTTACGGTGAAAATTAAAAAGATCGGGTAACTATAACCTATAGCTCCCATACAACTGATTGTTCAGATATGAGATTTTTCGTTATAATTCATCCATTTATGTAGCTAGGACCATGAAATTTCGCGCTGTTTTCACTCATTGTCAACAGAAGACTTACAGTGAAAATAACAAAGATCGGGTCACTACAACCTGTAGCCCCCATACAACTGATTGTTCAGATATGAGGTCTTTTATCATAACTCCTCCATTTATGCAGCTAGGAACATGAAATTTCGCACCATTTTTGCTCATTATCAACGGAATACTTACAGTGAAAATAACAAGGATCGGGTGACTATAACATATATGTATCTTTCATACATCTGATTGTTCAGATATGGGATTTTACTGTAAAACTCCTTTATTTGAACAGCTAAAACCGATAAATTTCGT